TTTGTTGCTTTTAATTGCTTTTTATTGTTGTTGTTGTTGGCATAAAATGCCTATTTAGGAAATCGGTATGGCTCGCAGGTGGTGTAGCTGCAAAAACAGGCAGTTTCTGCCAAAATAATACATAGAAAAGAGACCAAAGTTGGTCTCTATTTGGTCGTTTTTCATGTTAAAAAAATAATTTTCTGGAGAATAGCGACCAACTTTGGTCGCTATTTACCCAGATTTCTACAAAAAAACGACCAAACTTGGTCGCTATTTCATTAAAAAAAAATAAAATTTCTGGTGATATAGCGACCAAAGTTGGTCGCTAATATTTAAAAAATAAATTAAATCCATGTATTTAGGGACCAAAGTTGGTCGCTAGTTTAATAAAATAAATAAATAATTGAATACAAAAGCGACCAAAATTGGTCTCTAGTTTCCAGATTTTAAAATATAATATTTGGTTTAGAGACCAAAGTTGGTCGCTTTTTAGTGATTAATAATAAATAAATAAATAATGTATTTTTTATTTAGAGACCAACTTTGGTCGACAAATTTATATTATTAAATTAATAAAGCGACCAAAGTTGGTCTCTATAGTCAATATCCGGAAAAATGGGTCCATTTAGCTTAGAGACCAAAGTTGGTCGCTAATTAGCAACCAACTTTGGTTCCTAAATAAAAGGGACCATCAATATAGCTACCGGGCACTTTTGGTCGCATTTTGGTCGCTATTTAGCCAAAAAGCGACCAAAGTTGGTCGCTTTTTGCGGTCTCTTTTCCCCAGAATTCTAATAGTGCAATTGCAATTGAATAAAGAAGACTATTATTGTATACTCAAACACCATTTGAGAGACCTATGAGAAAACAGTAAATTGTAGAGACTCCCTAGGATTGCTATAAGGTTTTGTGATGCAATTCACTATTTAATATATTCATACAGTACACTGGCAGTGCATTTACATGTTCATAAAATAATAGTATTTATATGCTCCTTTTTGTCTATCGTATTTTTAAAGTAATATTTTGGTATGAATAAATTATATTAATACTCTCCGCGCAACGCGCGGGTATGGATACTAATCTATATATCTATATAATTGAGGGACAAAAAGAGGTGAAGTGGCACTCTCCTATCCCAAGTTTTATATTTATCTTTTTCCTTATAATTTTGCCATTTTCTTCTTGCGCACCTTTTAAAAAACTTTGCTTTGTTAAAACTTCAATAGTCACCTTTTTACAGTTATGGATTGTAACTGTTGGGAAAACACATTAGAACCTCGACGTTTAGAGCAGGAATCTACGGCACTTTCAACCGTTCCGATGACCTGTCATTTCCAGAAGAAGAAAAAACTCTTCATCTGTAAGAACTCTTAATCTGAACAATGCTTGACTTATCTTTGGAACAAATGCGTGATGAGCATTTGATTATTTGTTTGTCATGATGGATGGGCATTTGATTATTTGCTTGCTTATTAAAGTTTGTTGTGATTTTTGGAGCAACATGTTCCACTGGAATTTGCTACATTTTACAAGAACATCAAGTAAGTTGCTTTGTAGGACTAGAAAATTAGTTCTCTTTTACCGCATCTTTTTACCTCTGACTAGGTGGTGTTTTCATATCATCATTATATGTATGGACGTAAATTATAGAAGAATTTAGAGTTCTCACTAAGAACTTATCCTTGCCCAGAAAAGAAAAAAAATTGTTACAAAGCTAGATGATAAGAGGTGAATTTAACTATAATTAGGCCCTAAATAACCACCTTTTGGTATAGTTTGGATGATAAACGTGATAACAAAATGCTCTTATTAGTGTTGTTCATGCTTTGCAGGTTATATATGACCAGAGAAGGCTATGGAGTACTTTTGAGGTCAAATATAGAGAAAAAGAGGTTGATCGTAAAATTCCGTCAAGTAAACCACGCGAAACAGCTCAAGTCATAACTGAAAGAGTACTGTCGCGGTTCCACCACGACCGCGGCAGAACCGCGGTAGAAGAAGGCTGCAGACAAAGTGAGAATTAGAGAGCAAGTTTGGCCGCGGTTTGACTGCGACCACGGCAGAACCGCGGCGGAGGCAGAGAACTTCAGGGACTAAAGTGCAAAACACGGGATTTTTAGCCAAAAACCCTATATTAAACATTAGACTCCGCCCAAGAGAGACATGTATTATTTTGGAGAGTAATTTTGGCAAGAAGAACAAGTGTGAGAGATCACCCAAAACATCTTGGTTTCTTCTTCTCTTTATTTTTCTTGCAAGTTTTATGATGAATATTGTTTTAGTTTATTTACCCATAGTTATGAGTAGCTAAATCCTTTGTCTAAGGTTTTGATGGAACCTATTTGAGGATGAACTTCTTGTTTATGTTAATACAAATTGCTAGTCTCAATCTGTATTTGTTCAACTATGTGTATGTTGTAGTTAATTAACAAGATCCTCAATTAGTTGTGCCTATTTAGTGTGCATAACTCGGGAGAGAGTGCATATTTAGGTTATTGTTGACGGACACCACTCCCAAAGTATAAGAGGGATCTATAACTGCTGGTTTAAAGGTGGGATTAGGGATAACGAAGCCTTGGGTGCAATCTTAAGTGAACTGTGTTAATTAAAGCTAGCTAGTATATCTCGGGAGAGTGCAATAGTATATTACTATGATTACTCGGGAGAGAGTTACAGTTAGAAAAGTGTTCATGATTGATAGAGGTGTGTTGGTCAATTTGTATGAAGCATAAACAGAAGGGATTCCATCAATAGGGGAAGTCATTACCTTAACGTTTTCTCATTATTGTTTACAACCTTAGCATCCTTAGTTTACAGCTGTTTATTTAATTGCAATTTTAGTTATTGAAGACCCCATCAACTGTGATTCAAAAGTTTGGGAAATTGGTTCTCAAGAGTTTAGTGGGTCTAAAGATTGTGATTGATAGGTTAACTCTCTGTGGATTCGACCCTGGGCGTAATACTCGGGTTATATTTGCAACGTCCGCATTGTCCTTTTTATAAGGCCTAGTTGGGCGTGATCAAATTTTGGCGCCGTTGCCGGGGATTTAACGGAATTATCAATTACCATTGATAGAAATACAAAAAAATCTTTGTATAGTCAGTCTTCTCTACACCAAGTTTTTATTGAAAATTTTGACGGTTGTTGACGTGGTTGCATAGGCGTATGCCTAGAAACTCTACCAGGACTGGAGAATTACTTGAAGGACTCTCAGACCCCGAGAAAACATTCCAGATATTGAACCATGCCAACAAAAGACTTCAACAACCTCATCAAATACACAACCTCGAAATTGACATGGGTAACGTAGACAACGTCAACGGAAACGTCAGAGATAGGGAACCTCCTGTGCCTGAGGCTGCACTATATGACTGGGCACAACCCACAGCTGACAATCTGACCACTGCCATTGTTGTGCCCGCGATACAAGCTGAATCGTTCGATATCACGAACAACATGCCGCAAAACAAGGGACTATTTTCTGGGACACCAGCCGAAGATCCTCAGCAGCACTTGAAGAACTTCCTGTCGATTTGCAAAACTCAAAGGCAACCCAACATAACTTCGGAAGCAATCAGACTGTTATTATTTCCATTCTCGGTGACAGGAGATGCTCAGGTCTGGCTAAACTCACTCCCCATAAACTCTATAGAAACATGGGATGAGTTAGTCAAGCAATTTCACATCAAGTTCCACTCGCCCAATAAAACAGCTCAACAAATTGATGAGATCGTGAGCTTTAAACAGAAACCAATGGAGACACTGCATGAGACATGGAGCCGGTTTAAAGGAATGTTGGTTATATGTCCACACCATGGTATTCTAAATCAGATGTTGGGACAACGGTTTTACATGGGACTGTCAGATAACATGAAGAACATTGTAGATGCCTCAGCTGGTGGGGCATTTTTGAGCAAAACTTGGAGAGAAGGTGGGAGTCTGCTTGACAAAATGGCTCATAATTTGGGGTGGACGACGAGGAATGCACCTATCACTCCAGTGGTACACTCAGTGCCTTTTGACCCATCAAATTCCATGGCTGAAAATGTGGTGACCCTTTTGACACAGATGAGCATACTCACCAAAAAGGTGAAGGAATCGGGGCAGAAACAACAAGTGCACATTGTAGATACTACCAATGGGGGCTTGTGCACATCTTGCATTAGTCAGCCAATTGGTAATCCGTGGAATACTGAACATGATCATTATCATCTGCACCCTGAGGACATGAACTATGTGTCAAACTATAGAGTCCAGAGACAGGGCAATCAGAACTGGGGTCAGCAAACTCAGCAGCCATACAGACCACCTCAACCACAGTACAACGCTGGAAACATAGGAGGTATGAGACCTCCCAACAATATGACACCTTATCCAAGACCACAGGGGTACAACAATCAGCAGCAAGGGTATCTCCCACCTCAGCAACAGCATGGTGGAAGGCAAGAAGATGGGTTCACAAGACTTGAAGCAATGATGCAGCATGTGATTGGGTCCAATGCAAAAATAAATGAGAGAGTAGATACACATGATGCAACAATCAAAAATATTGAAGTGCAATTGGGCCAAATTTCAATGTCTCTGAACAATCGTCCTCAGAGGACATTACCTGCAGACACCCAAATTAATCCAAAAGATCAGGGCCCAAAACAGCTGATGGCGGTGAGTCTCCGTAATGGCAGGGATCTAGATGTAGAACAAGAGAGAGCTCGAGAAAATATACAGGCTGAGACATTCATTCCAGTGCCCATTGAGCTGGATGAGTCTACGATACTAACAGAAGTGACAGTCCAACCTGCTCAGGAAGAAAAGAACATTCAGCAAAAGACCGAGAAAGTAGCTGAGCCAGTTGAAGAGCCAGTAGTTGAAATAGAATCTGATAAAGAGAAGTCCCAAGTGATTGGGAAGAAAAGACCTCCTGCACCCTTTCCACAGAGGCTAGCCAAGTATCAAAAGGAGGAGCAGTATAAAAAGTTCTTTGAAATGCTCAAACAAATCCAGGTAAATATTCCACTGATTGAAGCTTTAAAGAAGATGCCTGGGTACGCAAAAATGATAAAGGACTTGATGTCCCGGAAATTTAATTTTCAAGACTTGGCTACGGTTATACTTACTCAGACCTGTAGTGTAGTGGTGACGAGACCTATTGCTGAAAAGCTGTCTGACCCAGGTAGCTTTACAATTCCATGCACTATTGGGAATTTTGCCTTTGCTAAGGCACTCTGTGATTTAGGGGCTAGCATTAACCTCATGCCCCTGGCTATGTATAAGAGGTTGGGCATTGGGAGAGCTAGACCCACCTCTATGTTGTTGCAGCTGGCCGACAGGACTGTGAAGCGTCCATTCGGTATCCTTGATGATGTGCTGATTCAGGTGGGGAAATTTGTGTTCCCTGCTGATTTTGTGATCTTGGATTGCAAAGTGGATGAAGAGATTCCTATAATCTTAGGAAGACCATTATTGTCCACGTGGAGAGCTCTGATTGATTGTGAGACTGGGGAGCTCAAAATGAGACTTAATGATGAGGAAATAATGTTCAATGTGCAGAAGTCTATGAGGTGACCAAGCGAGTTCGCCAATTGCTCTCTTATTGATGTCGTGGATGTTATTATAGAGTCTGATGATGAGGTGTTGACAATTGAGGACCCCCTTGCTGCATGTTTGATGAACTTAGATGAAGTGAATGGTGAGGATTTGGCGGAATGGGTGTTGGCATTGGAAGGTAGAGGGTTCCGGGAGACAAATCTAGAGTTTGAGCCCTTGCACTTAGAAAAGAGAGAAACTCCTCCAGCCAAGTCATCCATTGAAGAACCATCAAAGTTGGAGTTAAAGCCATTGCCAGCCCACCTCAGGTATGAATTTCTGGGACCTGACTCCACATTACCTGTTATTATCTCATCTAGTTTGTTAGATGTGCAGGTTCAAAAACTTTTACAGGTACTAAAGGAATACAAAACTGCCATAGGGTGGACCATGGCAGACATCAGGGGGATTAGCCCCGCCTACTACATGTACAAGGTTCTGCTGGAAGAGGGGCACAAACCTTCCAGGGAACATCAAAGGAGGCTGAACCCCAACATGAAGGAAGTGGTGAAGAAGGAGGTGATAAAGTGGTTGGATGCGGGAATTATTTTCCCAATCTCTGACAGTAGCTGGGTGAGCGCAGTGCAATGTGTTCCTAAAAAGGGTGGCATGACGGTTGTGACAAATGACAATAATGAATTGATCTCAACAAGAACCGTCACAGGCTGGAGAATTTGTATGGACTATCGAAAGTTGAATCTAGCCACCCGGAAAGACCATTTCCCACTTCCCTTCAATGATCAGATGTTGGACAGATTGGCATGGAGGTCACACTTCTATTTTCTGGATGGGTATTGAGGGTACAATCAGATCTCTATTGCACCGGAAGACAGAGAGAAGACCTCTTTCACATGCCCGTATGGCATTTATGCCTTTAGACGGATGCCCTTTGGCCTATGCAACGCACTTGCCACATTCCAACGGTGCATGATGGCCATATTCACTGACATGGTTGAGTACATAATAGAGGTGTTCATGGATGACTTCTCAGTGGTGGGGAATTCATTTGATGAGTGCCTGATAAATCTGACGCGTGTGCTGAAACGGTGCATCGAGACTAACTTGGTTCTGAACTGGGAGTAGTGCCATTTCATGGTACAAGAAGGCATAGTCTTGGGGCACCGGGTGTCAAGTAAGGGAATAGAGGTGGATCGCGCGAAAGTTGATGTAATAGCAAAGCTGCCTCCA